GGGAGAGAATATTATACTTCATTTCAAATCTAAAAGCTTAGATCAAGAAATTTTAATAAAATTTAGTCAAAGGACATATATGAATGTTATATTGAAAAGATTCAACATAAAGGAATTCTATATATGACAATATTATGGCAAGAGACTGGTAAAAATATCACGTTTCCATTGCGTATCGTATCACATACGCTTCGGGTATAGGATCGATTACATATGCTGTAATATTCGTCCGTTCTAATTTTCTAAATGCCTAGGGCATTAAGAGGGAAAAAGGACCAGAACCATATATGACTAAAATAATTAAACAACTGTCAAGGACGATCTAAGGTTCGCTAAGGATTTGTCGGTTGTGAGCAGTTAGAAGTATAGTAATGGATGGACCACATCGACATTATTATGAATAGATAGGACTCTATTAAGAATGAGTTGTCATATGGGAAATATGGAAATGTTTCCATAATGGGAGTTGGATATTGAGAATCTATGTAGGTTAGAAACTTTTATGCAAGAAGGATGTTCAAAGGAATGTACTTCGAATGTGAGACTTCATGTCTATAGAGTTGTCTTGTAACAATCTCCAATAGAGCACTTTGTAATTTCATTGGCAAAGTCTTTGTAACTTTGGTGCTATGACATTACAAAAATGATCAATGCATAAAATGTTAGAATGTAACATATTCTAATAGTGGCAAGAATTTGGTATTCTTACACTTGTAATAAGGATTATGAATTTTGAAATGAGCATCATTGGAAATGTGTACAAATGATCTATTTCACAAAGTAAGGACCATAGGTAAACATAGTGTGCATGCTTGGAGCATGGGACAACTATTGTTATAATTCAAGTGTTAAGTTGATTATCCGGAACATTATACAATGAATAATGTGTAATCAATATGGTGTTTTATTTATACTCAAAGTTTGAGACCATATTGGATTCGATTATTCTTGTGTTTCACTTTGCATGTTTTGACTTCCAAGATAACTAGGTTATTTAAACATCCACAGTCAATCATACTTTGGAAGTAGGTAATGAGGTAAGACTATCATGAATCTGACTGTAGATTGTCTAAAGTGTTTAGACATAGCAAAAGTCTACTGGAATGTTCATGCGTACTCCTGAAATAAGATTTGAGTATTGGATTAAACCTACGCTCACTTGAATCACTTCATGGATTTTATCACGAGTAATCAGTGAGACGATAATATCTTATATTCTTGAAACAGAGACATATGAATTATTGTTTACGAGTCGGTTGCACATTGATAATACGTAAACGCATCAGTAACTTGATGTTATAAAACGTATTGTTGTGTGTAATTTGATGAGTAAATAGTACAAGCATATGATGTCGAAGTTTATCCATTCCTTTTACCCTAAGGGGATAAAAGCGATATATGTGGGCCTCTCGATGATTTAGTGATGACAAACCCTAAGAGCTTGGCCAAGCCGGGACTGATTTGATTTGTTCAATTAGTCAGTCGTCATAAATCGAAAATTGGGAAACAATACATGAACAGAGAGAAGGATTAGAATCCATGTCCCAGTTCATACGATATCTAGAATGGAGGAATATATGATCCCTTATCTAAAGGACGCGTTGCTGATAAGATCAGAGTTTGACAGCGGCTTTTGAAAACTACGATTGCTAATCAGATTCTGAAGTCGTACTTGCAATAATAGTTATTAGACTTATCCAAATGGGAGACTGTTGGATTAGGTATCTAAGCCCATAACTATTTTTGGTATGTACTTGATTTGATTATGAGCGTGGCCCTTTTGGGTTGCCTTCACTCATGCAACTTGATAGGGTGTCCACCTGAAAACCCTAGCAGCCACAGCTATATAAGGAACCCTCTACTAAGGATTTTCGGCCACTATGTCTTCTAAGAGAACCTTAGCCGAAATCCTTCCCTCTCCTAAGTCATCTTGTTGCAAGAGTGTTTGTGACTCCATTAGAGATGTAACACTTGGGGCACTAAGCTTTCAAAGGTCAAGGAGTTCTTATTATTATTGCATAACAAGTTGAGGTAATCATTCTAACTTGTTTATCATGTCAATTTCGAAATAAGCATGCTAGATTAGCGTTTATTGCTTTGGTATTCATAGTTGTATGTTCAAATTAGAAAAACCTAGATCAAAGCAATTAGGGTTGCATGTACACCATAGGAATGATGTTATGCTCATAACCCAATAACTTGGTTAGCACAACATAATTTAGCAACATATATAAGATTTTTGCGAAGACGGGGAACACAGAGAACATTAGATAAGGATAGAGGACGAGATGAAGTGGGAAGATTAGTGTGACCAATATGAGAAATCTAAAGAGTGGTACCATCGCCTAGAAGAATTTCATCCAGTCCACTATATTCAGATACAGTGTGAAGAGCGGATCGATCAGAAGTAAGATGATGAGAGTGTAACATCCCCATCTGGCACGTATCGATTGGGATGGAAGGAAGATTCATTTGATGGGCGATTGTTGAACCGTCCAAGTTGGCGATTGGAGAAGTTGGCAGTGGCAATGATAGGAGCAACAACAGTCTCAGTTTCCTTGAGGGATCTTTCAAAGTCAACAAGTTTGTCAAATAGTTCTGCGAATGAAATAAAGGTTTCGCAGACCTTTAGAGTAGCAATAATTGGTCCATACTCTTCTCTGAGTTGACTGAGTATGTGGACCAACAGATCCTCTTCATGAACAGGGCCTTGCACGAGTGCAAGTTCATCGGAGATGAGTCTCATATCATTGAGAAATTCAGTGACAGAGCGATTCCCTTTGGGATTCTTAGCAAGTATGGACTTGAGTGAGATGATTCTAAAATGAGATTGACTGGCATAACTCTTGCTTAAACGATCCCAAGCTTCTTTGGCGGTGGTGACGGATGTGATGATTGGTTGAATGGCGTCAGAGCAGCTTCCGAGAATTATGCTGAAGATGATTTGATCATGGTGATATCAGACTGTGTATGTTGGATTTGGTGTGGTGGTGTCTTTATCAATTATCGTTTTGATTGGTATGGAATCGCCTGTGATGAAGTTTTCAAGATCAAGACCAATTATGGTTGATTGAACTTGTTTACACCATACTGGGAAATTAGTTGCAGTAAGTTTGATCGGAAAGTGACTGGCAGCTATGATTTGGATGATGGTGTTGGAGGAAGGAGCCATAGGAGGCGGATGATTAGGGTTGCAAAGGAAATGGTCATATCAGAGAGGCTCGTTAGAGTGGGATGCTCTGATACCATATAAATGTAAGAATTCTATGTATTATATCAAGGTTACAGATCGACTTATATACATGAGATAGACAGAGGAATGTGCACTAATCTAGGAAATATACATGGAAAGCATTGAATAGGAGAATCATTGACTCCAATAATCAAGGAGTAGTAGTTTAGTCAAGAATATCAAGGGATATCCTTAATAACATGTACAGAAGGTTAAATATATATATTCCCTAGAGATTCACTAACTCAGATGGCTTTCTACTTTGGTGTTAATATAAAGGATATTGTAAAAAGAGTCATTGCTCATGGGATTGATGTTGTGAACACGTCTGTCTCAAACATGATGACAAACACCCCCATGAAAAAGATGGTCCAAGGTTTGTAGCAAATTAGTTATAGAAACAACTTGTTTAATTAATTAATTGTTGAATTACCTTCTTACTTATCCTGTGAAATATATTATGGATGGATGCATGAGAAGTAAAACAATTTTCTGTTACAGAGAATGGCAGGGTTATCAGCTTGGCTTTCCTGCCGATATGTTTAATTTCTGTTTACGGAAATCCAACAAGGACAGCTGAAAACCACGAGGTTGTATACGCTGCTGCGACAGCTATTGAAACGCATGATTATATATATATATATATATATATATATATATATATATATATATATATATATATATATATATATATATATCAAAGAATAAACAAATAAAATCACATATGCATATCTCCTGATCGGATCTATGAGAACATGACTGCCATCGCCCATGGCATTCAATTTTTTTAAAACTTCCGAATATGGTTGGATATTTCTATTTGTTTTTTCTTTTACGTACCTACCCATCAATTACTTCTTTTTTAATATTAATAATGTAATCTTACTTTTGTTGGATTAATTCAGAATTTTGGGACAATTTTTATAGCCACATGTATTTTAGGAGTCTAGTTTTATTAGTATAAATAAGTGTCATGTTTAGATTAATTTAAATTAAGATTTTCAACAAAAAAACGTTACATTCCAAGCAATAAACGTTACTAAGGTAGAAGCTGATTGAGTCATAAACTCTGACTGAGTCTGTCTCTAAATAAAACTTGGCTGTTTGATTTTACAAGTTACTGAGTATGCCAAATGATGAAAATGATCTTATTACCTTTCTGTTCTGTTTGAGTTTTGTTTGGTTGCCTGATTCATGGGATTTGGGAGGAATTGAAATTCAATTTCATTCCATCCATTCACTAAAGTCATGAATTTCAATTCCAATTGTTCCTCAATTTGTGAACAATTAATTAACAAAAGCATAGTTTATTTATTTTCACAAATATTTATTATTTATTTTCAAGAATGTATTTACATGGCCAATGTTTATTTTGTGTTTGTAATTGTTATCAATTCATCTTGAATTGATATTGATGACGGACGAAGATGATGAAAATGGTAGTCAGATATGAAATGAAAAAAAGGCGAGCGGTGAAAGAGGGAAATGAACGATAATATGGTTGTGGATTAGGGGTAAAGGTAGCGATGGGTGAATGGACTCTTTATTAATTCTTCATTATTAAATAGTCTAAATGGATAAAATAAATAAAATAAAATGATGTAAGGACCATAGATGCAACAAACCACAAGACCATTTATGTAACTTACTCTGTTAATTATTTTTATCAAATTGAATTTTAATTTTGAAGTATAGGGCTTATAACACAATTTGATAAAAATCATTTGAAATCCACGTGTGATTTAAAAAACAAAATGGTTTTCAATGTTGAAGCCCGAAGGCATGAGGAAAAGCATCAATCTATGAACCCTAGCAAAGAACACAAACCAACCCATGTTATCATATTGATCGTGTCTTTAAAGCTTGAGCTCTCATCACTTTTGTTAATTGCCTTCGCCTCACTCCACCATCTTCATCTCTATAAATTCAAATTTCAAAAACCCCTTTACCCCCTCTCTTCGTAAACCCTCTCTGACCATTGTCTCTCATGGCTGCTCCAAACGGGTATGCTTTCTTCCCCTATCAACACCATTCGACATCTACAAGATACATATTTGCTTTTAGATTTTTGTTCTTCGTTGGATTTACGATAAAACCCTAAGTTCTTATTTTTGGTATGTATTCAATTTAGTGTAAGTTTGTCGATGTTTGTTTTGTAGCTATATTTGGCGAATCAGTTTTTGACCCCCCCTTTTTCTTTTTTTACTGCACTTTCTTTTCCAGTAAATAAAGAGTAAAGTTACACCCTTTAATTGTAAAACGTACTTCAATTGTCTTTAATATTTGTTCTTACTATTACTGTGTAGGGTTTCGCAATTGTTTTCAAGATTGTGTCGAGTAAATCGCATATGTTAGATCTTCTGTAAAGGCCCATGCTTCTGGATGTACAAATCTAGATTCTGATCTTTTTAGAAAGTATGGTAATCTTTATCGGTTTTGAATTAAGTTTAGTTTTTTGAATGAATGTCACGGTTACTTTTAGCTTGAAAAATCTTTTTTTATTTGGCAAGTTTGAATAAAAATCTTTTGTTTTTCTTCACTCTGTTATTCATTATCAAAATCTTACATTTTTTTAAATAGATTTAGGGTTTTCTATCCTACTGTTGTGTTTTACCTTCTCTTTTATGTGTCAAGAAATAATCTTTTTTGCGTACCCTTTGTTCTTAACTATATATATTTCTTTAGTGTTTTACCTGATCTTTTATATCTTTAAAGAGAATGTGTTTCACTTTTTTTATCTATTAAAAGCTTAGTGCTTTTTGGTTTAGGCCTTAGGGATCTTTAATTTTTGTAGAAACATAATTACATATGTCTAATAAGATTTAGAATACCTTTTTTAGTTTCAACATTTCAACTCGAGGGAGAAAGAGAAGTAAAGAGTTGATTAAGAACAGTTGATGTTTTGCTGTTTCTTTTTGATCTTTAAAATGGTCAGTAGTTTAGTGATTGTTGATCGGATTTGATGAAAAACTCCCAACTTTTCTTTTTTGGTATGTGATTAGTTTAATTGAAAGCTGTTTTTTCTTGTTCCTTATTTTTGAAATGAGTTTCTTGCCTTTTCTTTTAGCACCTTTGGTATACCTGAAATTAAAGTTGCTTGCTGTTGACTATTGAAAGTTATGATATTGAATTTCTTGATCGGATGAAACATTACCTTCTCACTTCAGATATCTCCTTCTTTAGCTTCAATTGATCTTTAGTATCATTCATCAAGGGAATGTGTAAGCCTTCATATTTGTTGTCTACATTTTGCTTATATATATATATATATATATATATATATATATATATATATATATATATATATATATATATATATATATATTGAATTTATATGTTAAAGGAATCATGTAGTTAACACAATTTACTTAATTTCTTTTGTTCTTTTTAGACCCTTTGTGAATTGCAGAATTGGAATCTTTATTGTTTTTTGAGTTGATTGTTGATTAATATTTGGGTGACTTTCGACCCATTTGACCCCTTTCATTGATAATTAAATTTATTACTTTATATGTTTGACCCATTATAGATATACTTGTTCCTCTTCTTTCATAAGGAAGCATATTTCTCATCATAAGGAATGTATCTATATGCCTAATTACTAAAAAGTGATGAACTTGTTGTCTATTTGTCTTTTTCTATTACCTCCTTTTTGATCATCATCCCTCTTTATTTATACATAAGTTTCATGATCCCAATTCCTCTTATTATGTGTTGTGTATGTGTGAATGACCAATTATTTGGGATTCAAATTTGTGGGTTTTCATTTTAGGTTTTGAAATGAAAAAAGAAATAACACAAATAGACAACAAGTTCATCACTTTTTAGTCTTTTTCACATTATCATTTTAATTTTCCCAATGAATATGTGTTTTTGAAATATCCTAACTTTCTTATATTAACGTTTTGCATATAATATATTGATATGATCTTTTAATTATAAGTTTTATATATTTGTAATAAATAAAATTTTCAGATCTCACGCAACTTGGACCAATCAAGTTCCAATAGCTGTAGCACCACTCAACTGTGTCCCATACACGGGCCCACCTCTTGACAACTCAGACGCTGACATGGCACAAAAAGAAGCCATCCCAGTTTCAAAGAATCAGCCAGCCATGGTGTTTCTGCCGCCACAAACCACCGAGAAAGAACTGAACGATATTTTGGAGACCACCACACACGGGGTGGTGGTGTCAGGTGGTGCCGCCAGTGGGAAATTTGGACCACTTATCGGCTCCATTGATATCTCTGAATCTCATGACACTTTTCTCTTTCGTGTTGCTCTTCCAGGTGTCAAGAATGATCAAAGTAAGTACCATAACTACCCTTATAAGTTTTTTAGTTGGTGATGAGGATGAGGAGGGCATTTATGTCTTTTTCATAATATAAAAAAAAATGCAGAGTTTAAATGTGACATTCAAGAAGATGGAAGCATTACGATTGAAGGGGCAACAGAAACAGGGGAGAAAAAGGTTCAAGTCCACAACATGGTGTTTGAGATGCACACACAAAATCTTTGTCCACCTGGCAACTTTTCGGTTTCCTTCCAGTTGGGTGGGCCCGTTGACCCTTTGACTTTAGAGAAGGAGTTGGCTAATGGTGTTCTTGAGGGTGTTGTTAACAAAAAACCACTCAAGGGTTTGTGATTCGTTTTGTTATTGATTGATGTATATTGGAGTTGAAGATCCTTGATTAGTAGTTGTTTTGATGAGAGTGGACTTGTGTTTTTGAAGGTCCTTGAGGATTTTCTTCTTGTAATATTTGTCTTGTTTTGCTTCTTGTTTATGCCATTTTTGGCTCCTTGAACAAAAGAAAAGTAGAAGAAGAATGAGGTTTAGGATTTAAATTTGTGTGATTTTTATTTAAAATAGGCATTTATACTACTTATCGTAGGGGCGAGAATGGTTTGATTTGGTTTTGGTTTGCTCTTTTTGCATAAACAATAAAAAATGGCAATTGAGTACATGGACTTATTAAATTCTAAATCCATGAATTTGGATATCGATCCAAAGCTCATGTGGGTTGTGACCATAGAGGTTTGATTAGTTAGGTCAGAATACTGTTAATTAAAAAAAATAAATTATAATATTTGAAACATGCATAAGGAGTGTTTGGGATTTGATTATTTAAAGCAACTTATGATTATTTGTGAAAGTGCATATTAGTTTTTCCGTTGTTAAAAAAGTGTTTTTGTTAAGGTATTCGGTATTAAAAGTAACAAGTTGATAAGTTTTTTTTTACTGTTCAAGAATTTCGGCTTATAGATGTAAATTTACCAATAGGGGCCAGATGTTTATAGACATTTACAGTAGGGTTAATAAAATTAATTTAAATAAGTCATAAGCTATTTTAGATAAGTTAGAACTCATTAACTTATCAAAAGCTCCTTATATAAATAAATAAGCACTTTTAATTTTAATCTATCCAAACATTAAAAAATGTTTATTAACAGTGTCAACCCTAATAAACTAATAAACACTTTAAATAAACAATCTCCAACGCCCCATAGTAATTGGACCGAAACTCAAAAAACTATAAACCGAACCGAAGACCACTAACTGGATCCGGTTAAAAAGTTCATCCCTACCCATAGTGTCAACATTTTTATTATTTTCTTTTAAATAAAATTGTTTACGATATGAATGTTATTATTAAAATAAAAACTGAAACAATGTTTAATTAATCATAACTAGTGATGTGGCCCATGCTTTGCATGGGTCGGGAAACTTATTTTTTTTATTGGATTATGTCGACAGAGTGTCGTTATATGGGAACATGAATTAATTTGAAAGTAAACATTCATAACATTGGTACATACACAAAAGATGTGAAATACATGGAAAACATTAAAAAAGAAGGACAAAACTGAGTTTCTCTCCTTATGCGTTGTCCGGATAATTTGGTGCATCTCTTCATATGTTTTGATTAGTTTTTTAGTCAGTAGTATGGAGAGACGTATGCACTTTAGAACGTCGAGGTCTGCACTTCGGGATAATATGAAAGTAAGTTGCTATTCGTTTACAGTTGACTCGAGCCATATTATAAAATTCCAATCGTTAATTATATTAAATGAAAGATATAACAACATACTTTTGTTTAATTGGTTATCATAGGATTCTATTTATACTTCTTTGTAGGTAAAACTTATAAATTGATAGAGAACACAAAATAAAAGGAAGTTCATGTGTAGAGAAAATGGTATTTTATAAAATCATAACACAACTCTAATAGGAAGTTCATGTGTAGAGAAAATGGTATTTTATAAAATCATAACACAACTCTAATGCTTTAGTTTTGGTTTCTAGAGCACCTTATTAGTTACATTGATGGCACAAAATACTAGTCCAAGATGTATCATTCCCTTAAGCTTCTTTACATAGATTGATCATGCTTCTTCATTAACCTACTAAATAGAAGTCATTATTCAAATAAGTTATAAAATCAAAATCATAAAAGGATGTTTTATAATAATCGGAACATACAAAGATTCATGTCATATCTACAGTTAAAAAAAACTAAAGCTTTCGGTTCGCTATCGACTTGTAGGAATCGACATGTAAAAACCTTTCTACCCTTTGAATTTCCAAAGAAATCTTGAAAAAATAGCAACAAATTAATGAGTTGATACCCCGACATGTCGTATGGTGCTAACTTGTTAGGAGGGACAATAATTTCCATTAGCTGCTTGTTTAAATGTATTTAAAAAGGTGAAGTGAGGTTGACCTTATATCAAAAGCAGGCACTCCAACCTGGTGATAAGACGTATATTTTAAGTTAAAAGCAGACACTCCAAATTTGAGTTTAAATCGAAAGACTTTTCTTATAAATTATTATAACCCACATGATGAAAATTTTGTTTTATAAACATTCAAATTACCCTATTGAGAAAAAATTTGAGTTACCGGACATAATTTATCCAAGAAACACTATATGTTGTAATAACCATCAAACAAAACTTTATATATCCAACAACCCCAAGGTCACAATTATATGGAAAGTCCATTGCCACTTCTTGCAGTTATCCGAAAGCTCATAATTGTATGGAAAGTGCCCAGTCAAGGGATAAATGCAAGAAATAGCAATACACTTTCAATCTTTTCCACACACATACACCATACAACCAATATCTTAGAAGTCAAAAAATAAAATTACTCACAATAGTTCTTTGACATAAATACATTAGAATCAAATAAAATAATGCAGTTGTTCAGGCCTAAGAATAGGCAAGAAGGTAGGTTTGGGAACAAGAAGTCCTTGCAACATCGTAATATCCTAAGCGAATTAGATACTTGGGGGATAGAAGATGGTATAGCCAAGCTTTTTAAAAACATGGTTGACAATGCAAGACTGTAGCAATAAGGGAAAAAATGAGTACATTCACGAGGAAATAACATCGAGCAACACCAACATCAGGCAATGTCTCTGTATGGTCGCAAATGTGCATTTTACAACAACAATGAAAGTTTTATGTTCCTTGGGGGTTGCTTCATTCGGGAGTGATACCATGAAGTCATTGAAGGATAAGCATCCATACAATCCACTACCATCCATGCCAAGTACCATATTTTTAGAACCTCCCCTTGTCATGGATATTGACAATGTCCTTTGGGGCATTAAATCCTTCCCTAAAGGAACCTCATGTGGGAGAGACAGGTTGAGAGCTCATTACATTTTGGATGCTCTTTGTGGTGAAGATTCAGTTATAGCCAAAGACCTCCAACATGTTATTACATATGTTGTAAACTATGGCTAAGGAGAAGATGCCCGTTGATTTTGGCAAAATTTATTGCCTCTGCTCCTCTAACGCCACTTTTATAACCTGACAATGGAATACGACCAATTGCAGTAGGCACTATATGGAGACGATAGGTTTCCAAGTTGGTCATGAAAGGTGTTGGTAAAGAAATGACCACGTATCTCAATGATCTTCAGTTCGGGGTCGGAGCGCCGGGTGGCGCTGAGGTCGTATTACATAGCGTCAACAAGGTGTTGAGTGAGCGTCACGACGACGTGTCTCTTTTCATGCTTACTGTGGACTTCTCCAATGCCTTTAGCCTTATGGACAGATCTTCATTACTTAATGAGGTCATATTTAGGTACCCTTCTATATCCTTGTGGGTAGAATTTTTATATGGTCAAGCAGCAAGGTTGTATCTAGGAGGCACACATATCTGGTCCACCACTGGGGTTCAGCAAGGAGACCCCTTGGGATCAATTCTCTTTGCTCTTGTGTTACACTCGCTCTTGCATAATATTAGAGACAATTGCAAGCTTCTTCTCCTTGAATGGTACCTTGATGATGGAACACTTATTGGAGATTCGGAGGAGGTGGCCAAAGCGTTGGACATCATTCAGGTGATGGGTCCAAAATTGGGCCTTCAGCTAAATATCAAGAAAATAGAGCTCTTTTATCCCTCGTGTGATGGTAGGAAACTTCGTAAGGGGCTTTCCCAGTTGGCATCGGGAGGCCGCCATTGGGGGTGAAACTTCTTGGAGGAGCTATTAGTATAGATGCTAGTTTCATTAGCAGCTTAGCCATAAAGAGAGTCGAAAACACTATGAATTTGATATGCCTTCTTCCATAAATGTAGGACCCCCATAGTGAGATACTTTTTCTTTGGTCTTGTATGGGTATTGCTAAACTTTTCTTTGGGTTGAGGACGTGTCAACCTATTCACATGGAGGAGGCGACATTGCTCTTTGACAAAGGACTACGCGGGGCGATTGAGGACATCGTGGTTTGTGGTGGTTCTTTATTTGGTGACATACAGTGGCAAATTGCTTCCCTACCCATTAGGTTTGGTGGGTTGGGTTTGTACTCGGCAGTAGAGGCCTCTTCAGATGTTGTTGTTGCCTTAAGGGTCCAATCTTGGGTGTTACAGGACAACATCTTACAAGATAGCATCATATGTGGTAAGTATTCTGATTATGCTTGTGTCTTGGCTTATCCTCGTAACAAGCTTCTGGGTGTAACACCCAAATTTTCAAAACAATTTTTCACTTTTTAAAACCATATAAATTCATCCACAATTGCTTTCAAAAACAATGTATCAATTTTATCTCACTACAAATGCCAAGATCAAATCATAATAACTCTGCGGGTGTGTGTACAGATCATGCCGGCGCCTTTCCGCGATCACCACTGGTACCTGAAACACATAACACATAACACCGTAAGCATAACGCTTAGTGAGTTCCCCAAAATACCACTCTAACACATATTAGCCACTCGAGGCTATGACTCTGCTGACCCTCTGGTCAGTGTGTCTCAGTGGGACCCTCCAGTCCCAACTCTCTGTGGTCTCTCTAGCCCTAACTCTATGGACCCAAAGGTCCTAACTCTGATAACTCTGGATCATGCATATCACATATCACAATAAATCTCAACACGTAAATAGCATACAAATACACTGGCACATAACTATAGAACATAACACACATTAGCCACTCGAGGCTATAACTCTGTGGGCCCTTGGGCCCTAACTCTGTGGACCCTCTGGTCCTAGCTCTTTGGACCTTCCGGTCCTAACTCTGGTATACACACAGCATAAATCACATAGAAATAATGCCGTGCCACAAATCACATAGATAGCATACAATAACTCTGTCACATAACTCTGTTACCACTCTAGGTAAAGTATAGTGAGAAGACTCACCTCGGGTAACTCGGTAAAGCTCGAACTCTGTAAAATCTGGTCTAGCCCCCGCCTAATCATATGAAATATACACTCTAAATCAATACATCTCTCAAGGCTAGACTATTCCTCCTCTTAGTACTCTCAGAAGGGTAAAAGACCATTTTACCCCTCCCATGGCTCAAAGGCCCTAAAGTTGACCAAACCCTAAAAGTCAACAAAAGTCAACCCTCCGGGTTACGCTGCGCGTACCAAACACGTA